TCCAAGCAACAAAGGCTAGCTCGTTCATCATCTCTTGGACGCCGTCGTACAAGACCGCAGACTCTTGCCGTCTTTCCTCGATGTACTGCAGCACCTGGAAGGACTCCTTGCGCTTTTTGCCAGGGGGCGGTTTGCGATCTCTGATAGCCTTGCAGACCTTTCTGAGCTTCTCGGGGTCCTTGCTGACGTCTTCCCACCACTCCATTTGGCCCTGGCTTTGGGCAGCATACTTGGCCGTCTGGATGGCTTTGCGGTCCTCTCCACATTGAGCTGAGCCAGCAGGAAAGGCTGCGACGTCAAGCCACTTGCCACACGGAGCGCAAAACTTCTTGCCGTCTTTGGTGCGACCACGTTGCTTGCCAAAGTCGTTGACGAGGTTCAACTTGCGCTTCCGCTGTCCTTTGCCGCCGGGGGGAGTGACGATGGACTCCTTGTCGTCAGCTTCGGCCTCCTCGCCGTCAGTCATGTTGTTGTCCAGGTCCTCATTGTCAAGGTCCGACATGGTCGGAAAGTGCCCGGTAAGCTAGCAGTGCCTCCACTGCGTCTACGTCCTACCAGAGCAAGCCAGGCCAGACCTAAAATGCGGCATTTCTCAGGTTGGCTGCTGGACAACTGCAAACACGCACACTCTGCACCAACTCGCACAGTAAGTGGAATCAAAGGCACCTTGCTAGCAGTTGGCGACGTTGCCACTCTTTCCCAATCTCCCCAAACAACTCAAAGACCGTAACCAACTCTCGGGGCTCTGTACAAGCGGATAAGTGGTTGGTATGCTACAGGAAACAAAAGTACGGTGGCCACTGTCGGTCTGACTGAACTGCTGATGACGTTTCAAACATCATCAAACATCAGAAAGCACTTCGCCTTCGCGGGTCTGGCCTTTCTGTTCGGAAGACTCACGAAAGGCCTTGCACATCTTGATCAGCTTCTCAGGGTCCTTGCTCAGCTCATCCCAGCAAGACATCTGCCCCTCACGACGCGCAGCATGTTTCATAGCCCGGAAAGCCTTCCCGTGTTCTCGACACATGGGTGAGCCAGCAGGAAAGGCTGCGACGTCAAGCCACTTGCCACAGGGAGAGCAAAGCTTCTTCCCATCCACGATGCGACCACGGAGCTTTCCAAAGTGCTGCTTCACAAGGTTGAG